ACTAAGTCGAAATCTAGGAACACATAAAAAACTTGTTATTATTGCAAGAAAAAAAGGCATATCAAGGTTGAATGTTATAAGTTGCAAATAGGAACTAAGGGATGATACAGATCACAAGTGAAAATAATTGAAGAAATATGTGGAAACTGATATAGGTTAAAAACTAAAATGATAATGAACTTGTAGTTTCTTTCAAATAAAACTCTATAGCAAGCGATGAGTAATATTTTTACTTTGATAACAATTCTTATATGAGTTTCAATCAAGATTGATTTACGTCGTAAAATCTTATGTTATATGTGTTGTTTTTTGTGCGGAATAATATCTCTTGTAAAGTCACATGTATTGGCACTAACAAGATTATGATGTTCGATAGAACTGCTTCAACACTTAGTAATGTGAGATATGTTCTAGATTTGAGAAGAAACTTGATTTTGTTATACATTTTGGATTTAAAATGGTACAAATTCTCTAGTGAAGTGAAACCATGAAAATTTATAAGGGCTTTCTACTTGTAATGAAATGGCAGTGAAAGATTGTCAAGTTTTATATTTTACAGGGCTCAATAGTTTTAAATAATACTACTGATATTTCTTTATTCATGTTGAATGATGACATTACTTGTAAAAACATCTTGATTGAGTCAGGTAAAATATAATTTTGTGTTGAGGAAGACAATCATGGGCAAGACAATTTTGAGAAACAAAAATAATTTAAATTCATGGGTATAATGAATTTGAAAAGCAAAAGAGCGTAAAATTCATCAAAACTGATTAAAAATGAAAAAGATAGAATTGTTGATGATGGTCAAGATCGTGTTGTGCATGATACACCTATGATGATCTTATTGATGTTAATGATTATCTTATTGATGTGAAATTTAAATTCAAGTTTGGGCAAAGCTTAGATTCAGTCGACGATCATTATTGAAGAGTACTCCTTTAAGTGGTTTCATGGAAGAAGTTAAGAACATGTTCTCAAAGTAAATAGCTTTGTTCGTGGAGGTGAAGATTTGACTCTTTTATTGAGTTTAAGCGTTTTATTGAATTTGAGATTTTGTCTCAAATTTCTTGTACTTTCAGAATTCTTATCAAAGCAAAGATTGTTAAAGGTAGTCGCGAATTAAATGTGATACAAATTAATTAAGAGATAATTAAAAACTTTTCTTGATTAGAAGTGTGTAGATTTCTTTCTTTTATGTAGAAAACTTACTTCTTGTAGATTTCTACCTCATAAGTTTTCTTTGTAATCAAATATTTATACTTATAAATAGATACTAAAATTTAGGTAGAGACCCAACTAGGATCAAACATTAGGAAGAGAAATGGTCTATTAAATATTTAAATAAAAATAAGAGAGAAAAAGACCTTATTTAATTAATATTTAAACTAAAAAAATCTAAAATACTCTTACATCGAAATATTTGGGAGGGGCAACAACTCTTTCCATATAAAGACCGACTTTGATAATTCATTTAATCATTTAGGGTTATAAGTTATTTTCTTTAAATTTTTATGTATTTTTCTGCGTTCAACAATAGTATAAAATTTTCACATTTTGTTCATAATTTTTTGGGTAAAGTATATAAATAATCCTCGAAATTTTAGTGCATTTGTATTTTGGTCACCTAACTTTTAAAATTTACAATACAATCATCGAACTTTTAGTTTGTTTTAAATAAAGTCCCTCTCGTTACCTCCCATTAATTTTTGTTGATATGACATTTAACTGTCGTTGACCCCTTTTCTTCTTCTTCTTCTATGCATTTAATGCCAAACTCTTTAGCTGATGCAGGTTTTACAATTCGACTCCGTTCCACCACAAACATGTTTGTTCACTGCAACCTTCAATCTGTAGAACTTTGAGTTTCGTTAAGGCATTCGATAGCTCCTCGATTATGCAGGTAAGGTTTGATATTCCCTTGAAATTCAAGCTGGTGATGTTTTGACCAACTATACTCATAAGAATCATGTTGCTACTGTCCTCCATGGTTAATTCACCTAAGAATGGGAAGCTTAAAGGTGGATTTGTTAACAGTGGGCAGTTTTGAACATCTAGTTTTACCAGAGAACTAAGGATTCTTGGTAATGTTCCAGCTAATCTAGGATGTGCAATATAAGCACGCGATGACGAGGGAAGTTGTTGATGTCGCCAACAGATGAAATCCATTATTTCCATTTTGACATGTTCTCAAACCTCAAGATCTCCAAAGATCGAAAACCGTTATCAAAAAATTTAAGGCCCAAATTTGTCACTGCATGCATGCCTCTTACGTTTAAGCTTTTGAGTGATGGTAGATGCCCGAGTGATGGCAATGACTTGTAATTTATACAGTCCAAGAGGTCTAGCTGCTCTATTTTATAAAAAGAAGGATTCCCTACCCAAGATGGGAACTATGTAGCTCCTATAATATGAAATCAACAGCCGTTGAAGATCTTTAGGGGGTTGCAGTGACTCAACAACTTGTATTTGGTTGTGTCTCGTTTTACAATCGTCGTCGCACCATTCAAGGGTTAACTTATTCAGGCCATGTTTTTGCCTTAGGTTAGAAATCCTTGAATCTTGAATATCTACAACGTTTTACAGCCATATAATGGAAAAGTGACCTTGAGGAGATAAATCCTTTAAATAACTCCCTTAATGATGGTCTCGAATTTTCTCTATAACAAATTTGGACAATATCCGGAGATGTCGTCGCTGGCGATGATGGTATGAAGTAAATGCATAGTAACATAATCAAGAGGAGGAAGAAGAAGGGTTAAAGACAACTAAGTGTCACATAAGTAAAAACTAACGATAGTGACTTTATTGAAAATGAACTAAAAGTTCAATGAATATATTGTAAGTTTCAAAAGTTGGGTAATCAAAATGTAAACGCCCTAAAAATTTGGGGACTATTTATATACTTTACCCAAAATTTTTAAGAGAGTTATTCATATAAAATATTATTGTCTATTTTATTATATGATCAATGTACTTAATGTTAACTTGTAGCAAATATTTAGAAAAAATAGCAACCGCTACTAGAGAAAATGAAAGAAAATAAAAAGACTTAAAGGCATCGAAGGCCCTCTAACTTTAAAAAAACCAATGTGGTTCCTATTTTTTTGGGATTAATGTGACCTTCCAATTTGAAAAAAGAATATAATGTGACCTTTTTGATCAACGATTTTCTTCAATGACCAACTCTCCATTAATTCCAACTCTTATAAATTGGGTTCACAGATTTAAGGACCAATGACAACTCCGTTGAACTTGGCTATCTGCGGTGGCGAGAAGGAGGGGGAAGAAGTTAGAGAAATGAGGGTAAAATGGGTTAACTACAACCTTAGTTTTTGAAGTCTCGATTTTCAAAATTGAAATTTTTTGGAGTTTAGTAACTAAAATAAAAGAAAAAAATAGTTGAATGATGAATGATATAATTTATCCAATTTATAATAACCAAAATTAAAGAAAAATTGATCATTGATGGAAACCGTTGATCAAGGGTCACACTTGATTCGTTTTTCAAGTTGAAGGGTCACATTGATATAATAAAAAATGCCACGTTAATTTTTTTTTAAGTTGAATGGCCTTTGATACCTTTAATAAAAAAAAATAGTTCAGTTTGTACCTTTACACACATACTCTAAATATTTAATGACTTAGTGTGATCTTAATGTCTTTTGAGTATTATATTGAATTATTGTCTCATTAAATTATAAAATAATGATCAGAAATAGGGATGGCAAACGGGCGGGTCGGGTGCGGATACCCCCTCCTCCATCCCCATATCCATCTAATATTTTTCAATCCACCACCCGCCCACCACCCATGATGGGTACAAATTTTCAAATCCACACCCGCCCATGCGGGTACATTTTCAAATCCATCCCCACACCCACTACCCACTAGCGACATACCCATATAGACCCGCCTGACAGCAAACTAATTGGATGTTGGAGTTGGTTCCCAGACAGTTCGTGATGGGGTAGCAGCACATGCTTCAATTTGTTAAAGGAGTAGCTCTACGAATGTTATGGAGACAAATTGTAGGGAGCATGTAGTCGCAGAGCTGGATTGTTGTGTTGCTTTCGATGTTAATGCTCATAGTGCGCCTAATATGAGTTTTGAGGGGCTAAAGAACATGAAAACTGCTGCTTTTGATGTTAATTCTTATAGTACGACTAATTTGTGTTTAGATGGGCATTATGGGCTAAAGAACATGGAAAGTGACGTGGTTAGTGGGATTATGGGTTTAATCAAAGAGCCGAATATTTCCCTAATTAAAGATCAGATTAAAGACTAAATATCCTTAATATTTGGATAAATTATATGTTATATATTATACAATATTAAAATTTATAAATTAGTCTTTAAAATTACACCTAAATTCATAATGGTCCAAAATTTAATAGATATTTAGCTGGGTGGGCGGATGTGGGGCAGGCGGATGCGGGGCGGGCGGATGCGGGGCGGGTAATGTCTCAAACCCATTACCCGCCCACAACCCATGACGGGTACCACTTTATAAATCCACACCTGCCCACTACCCGCTAAAATTATACCCATCCCCGCTTCAATTGGAGCGAATGCGGTGCAGAATCCATGAAACTGTACCCGTTTGCCATCCCTAATCAGAAAGTGCACAATAGTTTATTTTACCAAACACAAAGTGTTGACTGTTTTTTAGTGGGAATCAGATCATCAACAAATTTATCAATGCTAAGGCTGCTTTTACTTCATCTAATTCCACAATAATCTTTTCATTTCTTTGTAATCCTCTGCTAAAATGGGTTTCGCAAGCACAGCTTCTTAAGGATTTTTGTCCGCGGGGCTTAGCAGCTTGTGATAAAAGTCGTCAACGGCTGTCAACTTACAGTTTAGCATCTTGACTTGAATGTACACGGCTCATTTTGTAAGTCGGGGCGGAACGTAGTTTGTTGAGGTGCACTGCAATCTGGGTTTTTTTCTTTGATCTCAGGCGGGAGACGGCGGCGCGTGATAGTCAGGGAGAGTGAGGATCGGAGGTGAAAAACCATCTTTTTTGTATGAGATTTTGAGTGCTTCTGGAGTGAAGGCAAGTTCATCTAACATAAGTTTTTTCGTATGGTCATGCCTTTACATGGACAAATCTATAAGGATGTTGCTTTTGTTGTGTTGCAGATGGAGAATACTTCTTATATGGTTGCATCTAAGCACAAGCTGAGTACCTTTTTCTCCCTCATATTCCGTTCTCCCACTTCTTATCACCCTTTGCTAGCCTCTGCAGTGTCCAGACTAATAATGCAAGACCAGGGGAACCGCCTAATTGTGGGTAAGGATGAGAATACCGTGCGGCAGCTCATAAGGATGATTAACAGTGACAATCTCCGTTTGGTATGCGTCATATACCTTCCTTTTTTTATGGGTGTTTATGGTGAGCTGTTTCTCCTTTAACAGTTTTGATTTGTTTCAAGGTTGAACAAGCTTGCTCTTCTTTATCCAATCTCGCCGGAAATGTTTATAGTGAAATGTTAATAAGATGCGACATCATGCAACCAATTGAAACTATTTTGAACTCTCCTGTCCTTGAAGATCCTGTTTCTGTGCTGCAAGTTATGGCCAATCTAGCCTATGGGTCTGACACTGTAGCTCAGAAGATGCTAACTGCTGGTGTTTTGAGATCATTAGAAAAACTGTTCCATCATAAAAACACAGAGGTATCTCTCTGTTTTTCTTTATTGATTCTCTTTATCATAACTACTAGTGTTTCTTTATTGACTAGCCTTTTGTGTGTAATCAGGTGCAAAGGCTTGCTTTGCTAGCTGTGGGAAATTTGGCATTTTGTCGAGAGAATCGTCAGCTTCTTGTCACTTCTAAGTGCTTGAGGGAACTTCTCGTGTGCTTGACATCTACACCTGAGCCGCGAGTAAATAAAGCTGCAGCTCGTGCTTTGGCAATTTTAGGTACGTTTCTTGGATTTGAATTCCTTTTTACTTTGTTTGAGAATCTTTAGACCATATGATCATCTGATTCTGTTCTGTTGTAGGAGAGAATGAAAGCTTGCTAGATGCTATTAGAGGGAGACAAGTACCAAAACAAGGCATACGCATTCTGTCGTTGGATGGAGGTGGGATGAAAGGTCTTGCAACCGTGCAGATCCTTCAAGAAATTGAGAAAGGAACTGGAAAGCGAATGCACGAGCTATTTGACCTTATATGCGGAACATCTACCGGTGGCATTTTTGCTGCTGCACTCGGTATTAAGTTGATGAGCGCAGACCAATTGGAAGAAATATACAGAAATATGGGCAAGGATATGCTCTACATAAAGAATCATTATTCATCCAAACTATATGCAGGTGTAGTTCGCTTTATGTATTCTGTTTTTGACTTTGCAGGGAAAGTTGTTTTCTCTGAACCTGTGCCGAAGGATAACAAAGTTGCGTCTTGGAGAAACAAGTTGGACCGGCTTTATAGAAGTTCATCGCAGAGGTTCAGGGTTGTTGTGAAAGGATCTAAGGCATGATTTTCTCTTATGTATATTAATTTGTGCTTCTTTCTTGGGGCACTGCGCCAAGAGTTCCTTTCATATCTTTCTTAAAAATGTATGTGCATATATGTATGAAGAGTGTTGAATAATTATATGAAGCTATATCCCAAAAGAATGAAAGTTTTATCTATATTGCCTTCAATCCATTAAACATCGCAATCACATCTGCTGCGACATATTTCTAATTTCGATTAGTATTTCAGCACAACTCAGAAAAGCTAGAGAGGTTACTACAGGACATGTGTGTAGATGAAGATGGTGATGACCTACTAATCGAAACTGCTGTGAAAAATATTCCAAAAGTCTTTCTTGTGTCAACTTTAGCGAGTGTTACACCCGCTCAGCCTTTTGTATTTCGCAATTATCAGGTTTGAAGTCAGTGGTTCCTTTGTCTATCATAGCATAAAAATTCTAATTGAGTTCAAGTATTATGTTGGTCCTATAGATACAAGTAGACTATTTAATCAAGTCTATTATGGTAATATCTTGGTAGCTGTAGTATGTTAATGCATTTATTTTTCTTAATGTGAAGTACCCTGTGGGAACGCTGGAGGTGCCTCTTGGAATGTCTGAAAGTTCCGAAACCACCGTGCCAGGATCTCCAACTACAGGTACCCAGCTTGGCTGCAAAAGAAGTGCTTTTGTTGGAAGTTGTAAACATCTTTTGTGGCAAGCTATAAGGGCATCTTGTGCTGCTCCATACTATCTTGATGACTTCTCCGACGGTATTTTCTTCTGCTTGAGTTTGTTAACAATATATTTATGCATGTTTAAGCTTCTTAACCTTTATTTTAAGTTAAATTACATCTTAAATAGGTGTATACCGTTGGCTCGATGGTGCTCTATTAGCAAACAATCCAACTATCTTTTCAATACGAGAAGCACAACTTTTATGGCCTGATACTAAAATCGACTGTATAGTTTCAATTGGTTCTGGCTCATTGCCTACCAAGGTAACCATTTTTGTTTTGTTTTTTTGTGTTTGCCATCTAAAGGATTTGTCATGAGATCTGCTCAAAATGCATGTAAAACCTTATCCGATTCTCTTGACCGGCTGAAGTTTAAATCACCATTTTGTTAGGATATACATGCAGAATAAGAGTATGATGGTGCCTTCAATGATGTTCCAAGTTTAAATCACCATAGATTTATGAGTATCTGTATTGTAGGCTCGTAAAGGTGGTTGGCGATATCTAGATGCGGGGCAAGTGCTGATCGAGAGTGCATGCTCTGTTGATCACGCAGAAGAAGCCTTGAGGACGCTGTTGCCTATGCATCCCGAGATCCATTACTTTCGGTTTAATCCAGGTACGAAGTACCGGGTCCTTCCTCGTCACTATAATATAACCCTTGGTAAAGTGTATTCATAAAATGCATGTCGTTGTTGCAGTCGACGAACGTTGTGGTATGGAGTTGGATGAGACGGATCCAACGGTTTGGCTGAACTTGGAAGAGGCAACAAGGGATTACATTGAAAAAAATTGGGAGTCCTTCAAGATTGCTTGTGAAAGACTAGTTAAAAATAGATGAGAAGTGGAGAGAGTTTTAATAAATCTCAACCAAACCATGTTGTTCCATGAGATCAGTAATAAAACATATTTGCAGAAACTCTGAATGAAAACAGAGGAATTCCTAAACTCGGATCAAACTCCCTGAATTGAATCTTTATTATATTAACCAGGAATCCCACTTCCTAAATTTCTATTACGCATCTCATGTACACTTTATCAACGTGTCCCGTAAGACTAATAACAGTAACTGCATACTTAGTTTTCTCCACCTCTATACCCAACCCATGCCATAATTTCCTAATCAAATGACAACGTACATGTACACTTTGTAAACGTAGTTGTTCGAATTTAGGATCTTTAGGAAAAATAAAATCTTTGATCATTGAGACCACTTGATGAATTCATAAATATATAATAGTTAAGTGGTCATAGATATAATTTATCCTTAACTATTGGCAGTCTGTTTCCATATTGTGAAGAAGCAATTGTGGAGGATAATAAGAAAGAAAGTAATTTTAAGGGTAAGCTATACGTTTAGTACTCCAATTATCATTTTTCTTATGTTTTGGTTACTCAATTATTATTTTTTTAAAAAGAAAATCATATTTAAAGTTACAGTTTGATCACATGTCGTTAAAAAAATAATAAAATTACTGACATGACATTTAAAAAAAATCAACGATGACATATCATTATCTTATGGTGATAGGTTAACATCAGTAATATTTTTTTACGGTGAGTGAACAAAATGAAATCAAAATTTAATATTAGGTATGATTTTGGAAAAAAATAATTGTGATCAAATTGAAAAAAAAAATAATTGATTTACTAAACGTGTAAATTACCATAATTTTAAATTGCGGGGCCAATGAACAATCAATTAGTAGAATTTGGTTTTCAAAAAAGAGTTTATGGAGAGACATTTGATAGTTGAAATTGGTTTGGATGTTAGATAATTTGAAAGTCTCTATTCATAATTCTACTGGGCACAAGGGGTGATGAATGATGGTAAATTCTCTCAGTTTTTTTGGCTCAATAGCCCAAGCGGGTAAATATTTAGGGTATTGGGCATACCCAAACTTTATTTAACAAAATACGACAAATGTTACAGTCCACAACGAACTCGTCACCTCGAGGTGAGGAGTTCCATGGGATATTATTTTTTAATGATCCACGCGTAGTGGGCCCCACGTGGGCCATTATTCTAATAGCGATATAATGACTCGTCATGCCAAGGTGACGAGTCCATTAAAAAAATTAAAAAAATTATAAAATCAAATAAAAATATTCGAAGGAACTTGTCACGTCTAGGTGACGAGTTCATTCGAATTAAAAAAACTAACCCTTAGCTAGACGTTGTTCAACGGACAGATGGGCAACAATAGTCACTTGGAACTCGTCACCTCGAGGTGACGAGTTCGACCAGGGATTTCAAAACACTAGCCGTTATAGCCGTTGGGGGTAAGGCTATGAATAGGGGTTTGGGGTTTTGGTTTTTCACCAAAACCTGAATCTGAAAAATTGAAAGAAAAAACATATGTTGTGCGGAAATCTAGAAAAATGACAACTCGAGAGTAAATGTCGCTCCTGAATAAAGTTCATGTTTCGTCTATACCCATCCCATGCCATAATTTTCTAATCAAATGACAACGTACATGTACACTTTGTAAACGTAGTTGTTCGAATTTAGGACCTTTAGGGAAAAAAAATCTTTGACCATTGAGACCACTTGATGAATTTATAAATATATAATAGTTAAGTGGTCATAGATATAATTTATCCTTAACTATTGGCAGTCTGTTTTCATATTGTGAAGAAGCAATTGTGGAGGATAATAAGAAAGAAAGTAATTTTAAGGGTAAACTATACGTTTAGTACTCCAATTATCATTTTTCTTATGTTTTGGTTACTCAATTATTATTTTTTTAAAAAGAAAATCATATTTAAAGTTACAGTTTGGTCACATATCATTAAAAAATTAATAGAAATACTGACATGACATTTAAAAAAAATCAACGATGACGTATCATTATCTTATGGTGATAGGTTAACATCAGTAAAAATTTTTTACGGTGAGTGAACAAAATGAAATCAAAATTTAATATTAGGTATGATTTTGGAAAAAAATAATTGTGATCAATTTGAAAAAAAATAATTGATTTACTAAACGTGTAAATTACCATAATTTTAAATAGCGGGGCCAATGAACAATCAATTAGTAGAATTTGGTTTTCAAAAAAGAGTTTATGGAGAGACGTTTGATAGTTGAAATTGGTTTGGATGTTAGATAATTTGAAAGTCTCTATTCATAATTCTACTGGGCACAAGGGGTGATGAATGATGGTAAATTCTCTCAGTTTTTTTGGCCCAATACCCCAAGCGGGTAAAATATTTAGGGAATTGGGCATACCCAAACTTTATTTAACAAAATACGACAAATGTTACAGTCCACAACGAACTCGTCACCTCGAGGTGAGGAGTTCCATGAGATATTATTTTTTAATGATCCACGCGTAGTGGGCCCCACGTGGGCCATTATTCTAATAGCGATATAATGACTCGTCATGCCAAGGTGACGAGTCCATTAAAAAATTAAAAAAATTATAAAATCAAATAAAAAATATTCGATGGAACTTGTCACGTCTAGGTGACGAGTTCATTCGAATTTAAAAAACTAACCCTTAGCTAGACGTTGTTCAACGGACATATGGGCAACAATAGTCACTTGGAACTCGTCACCTCGAGGTGACGAGTTTTACCAGGGATTTCAAAACACTAGCCATTATAGCCGTTGGGGGTAAGGCTATGAATAGGGGTTTGGGGTTTTGGTTTTTCACCAAAACCTGAATCTAAAAAATTAAAAGAAAAAACATATGTTGTGCGGAAATCTAGAAAAATGGCAACCCGAGAATAAATGTCGCTCTTGGATAAAGTTCATGTTTCTTCTATACCCAACCCATGCCATAATTTCCTAATCAAATGACAACGTACATGTACACTTTGTAAACGTAGTTGTTCGAATTTAGGACCTTTAGGAAAAATAAAATCTTTGACCATTGAGACCACTTGATGAATTCATAAATATATAATAGTTAAGTGGTCATAGATATAATTTATCCTTAACTATTGGCAGTCTGTTTTCATATTGTGAAGAAGCAATTGTGGAGGATAATAAGAAATAAAGTAATTTTAAGGGTAAGCTATACGTTTAGTACTCCAATTATCATTTTCTTATATTTTGGTTACTCAATTATTATTTTTTTAAAAAGAAAATCATATTTAAAGTTACAGTTTAATCACATGTCGTTAAAAAATTAATAGAATTACTGACATGACATTTAAAAAACATCAACGATGACGTATCATTATCTTATGGTGATAGGTTAACATCAGTAATATTTTTTTACGGTGAGTGAACAAAATGAAATCAAAATTTAATATTAGGTATGATTTTGGAAAAAAATAATTGTGATCAAATTGAAAAAAAAATAATTGATTTACTAAACGTGTAAATTACCATAATTTTAAATAGCGGGGCCAATGAACAATCAATTAGTAGAATTTGGTTTTCAAAAAAGAGTTTATGGAGAGACGTTTGATAGTTGAAATTGGTTTGGATGTTAGATAATTTGAAAGTCTCTATTCATAATTCTACTGGGCACAAGGGGTGATGAATGATGGTAAATTCTCTCAGTTTTTTTGGCCCAATACCCCAAGCGGGTAAAATATTTAGGGTATTGGGCATACCCAAACTTTATTAACAAAATACGACAAATGTTACAGTTCACAACGAACTCGTCACCTCGAGGTGAGGAGTTCCATGGGATATTATTTTTTAATGATCCACGCGTAGTGGGCCCCACGTGGGCCATTATTCTAATAGCGATATAATGACTCGTCATGCCAAGGTGACGAGTCCATTAAAAAAATTAAAAAAATTATAAAATCAAATAAAAATATTCGATGGAACTTGTCACTTCTAGGTGACGAGTTCATTCGAATTAAAAAAACTAACCCTTAGCTAGACGTTGTTCAACGGACAGATGGGCAACAATAGTCACTTGGAACTCGTCACCTCGAGGTGACGAGTTCGACCAGGGATTTCAAAACACTAGCCGTTATAGCCGTTGGGGGTAAGGCTATGAATAGGGGTTTGGGGTTTTGGTTTTTCACCAAAACCTGAATCTGAAAAATTGAAAGAAAAAACATATTTTGTGCGGAAATCTAGAAAAATGACAACCCGAGAATAAATGTCGCTCCTGGATAAAGTTCATGTTTCGTCTATACCCAACCCATGCCATAATTTCCTAATCAAATGACAACGTACATGTACACTTTGTAAACGTAGTTGTTCGAATTTAGGACCTTTAGGAAAAATAAAATCTTTGACCATTGAGACCACTTGATGAATTTATAAATATATAATAGTTAAGTGGTCATAGATATAATTTATCCTTAACTATTGGCAGTCTGTTTCATATTGTGAAGAAGCAATTGTGGAGGATAATAAGAAAGAAAGTAATTTTAAGGGTAAGCTATACGTTTAGTACTCCAATTATCATTTTTCTTATGTTTTGGTTACTCAATTATTATTTTTTTAAAAAGAAAATCATATTTAAAGTTACAGTTTGGTCACATGTCGTTAAAAAATTAATAGAAATACTGACATGACATTCAAAAAAAATCAACGATGACGTATCATTATCTTATGGTGATAGGTTAACATCAGTAATATATTTTTACGGTGAGTGAACAAAATGAAATCAAAATTTAATATTAGGTATGATTTTAGAAAAAAATAATTGCGATCAAATTGAAAAAAATAATTGATTTACTAAACGTGTAAATTACCATAATTTTAAATAGCGGGGCCAATGAACAATCAATTAGTAGAATTTGGTTTTCAAAAAAGAGTTTATGGAGAGACGTTTGATAGTTGAAATTGGTTTGGATGTTAGATAATTTGAAAGTCTCTATTCATAATTCTACTGGGCACAACGGGTGATGAATGATGGTAAATTCTCTCAGTTTTTT